ATTTATGAGCTATTAAGTGCTATTTCATCCTTGCGATTGTTTCTCGTATAAGAAAGCAGTAAAGTTTCTCACTGTCTTACTACTTTCTCCGGTGAAAAAGAGATGAGGGTTCTTTGTTGGGAACATTGAAGAACACTGCACACATTGTCTTCAGGATATGGCGGCGGCTATATGGACCGGCAAAATGTAGAATATATTAAACGCGAAGATAATGAAGAATTTGACGAGTTTGGAAGGAAGAAAAAAAGAAGGAAGATGGATGAGGTCCACTTTGTCATATCGGTTCTCCTCAAATTTTTAAGATTGGAAATTTATCAGGACTTTTTGACAATTCAACAGAATCACGCAGTTGCTATTAACAGACAAGGAGTGCCTTATTAAAAATACCTTCTCTCTGCCTCAATTTTTATAGATATTGTTGCTCTTAAATCACAGCTTAGTAAAATAGAATCATAAAATTGAAAACTACCAAGTTTCTTTCATTTTCCCTTTCGTAATTACCGTCATGCTTTATATTACTGAGTTTACTGTAGTACGCAAATGAAAGTAGAGTTTGGAGTTGAAGGTTTTATCCAAGTTCCCAACTGCAATTTAGGATTTCAAGTCGAAAGAGAAATTAGAAAATAGTGAAAGTTGCGCTAGTGACGAGGGTGATGTTCAGGAAGATGAAGAGGAAGATGGGGAGCTTGATCGAAAGGAGGAGGAGTTGAATGAGGCATGTCGGATTAGATTTTGTTTGTTTTTAATGAGTTTATATTTAATTGATACGTCTGTTAAAGGAAGAAGAAGTAGTAATAGAAGAGGAAGAAGAAGAGGAGGGCGATGATGCAGACCTCGATAAATATGATCTAAGCGCTGATGAATTTGAGGTTGAAGATCTGAAAGCAAAGATTGCTGCTCGTAGAGCAGCACTTGCTAATGCTGTTGCAAGTCCTTCCCGATCAGATTCACTTTGTTCTCCAGAGTAAGTTGCTTTAGAGTGATTTTTGGGTAATTCAGTCACGAACACTGTTATTAATAGATTAATTGGTTTTTGTTGTAGCATTAGTTTTTTTCTCCATATTTTTTCCCTTACAATTTTTTATTTATTTTGTGGAGCTTATTTTGGCTTTGTTACAAATTCTGTTTTTGAACAGTTGTTTATGATATTTGCCATGTCAGATAGATGCTTCTTGCTGACTTTAGAATATTGAGGTTTTGTAGGTATTACTACTTTTAGCTGTTCTTGTTCGTGTAGCGGAGGAGAATGTTCCTGTGAGGAGAGCGAATCGGAAGAAGAAAGAAGGAGGATAAGGGAGAAGGAGAAAGAAAAGGAGAAGGATAAGAACGACCGAGACAGAGAAGGGGAACGTGAAAGGAGGGACCGAAGTAGAGGAAACGAAAGGGGTCGTGAGAGAGATCGGCGTGGAAGGGAGCACTCGTGGCAAGCGTGTTTCTGTTTTCTAAATTATAAATATCGTGTGTATAAATTCTAATTTGAGTGCTTATTAAACTTCTCGGTGTTTAATTCAGCGTTTCTTTGTGTTTTAGGGGTCGCTCACCACGTCATCATTCCTCAACCCATCGCAGCAAAGATCGGCGATAAGATGTCGTGTTTAAATTTCATTGAAGGCTACTTATTCGCTTTTTTGTTGCTATACCTTTTCATCTTTCGTCGCATGACACTTATTTTATGGTGTTTTGAATATAGATAGCATTTGTAAATTCTTTGAATGACGTATTTGTTCTTAGAATACAATCTTTGTCGACTTGTTCATCATTCGACGTTTAATTCTGGGTAGTTTGCTACATTGCAAAGCATAGTATGCTTAAAATATAGGTTTTTACATTATATTGGCTTTTATTGCCAATTTTTTTAAATCTGGTTTTTCTTTTGCTAATTTATGCAGTTCTTTCACTCTAGCTATTATCAAGGGAAAGAAACATTCAAAGAAATTTCGGGTATGTTGAATTGAATAGTACCAGTTCGTATTTTACATTGTCATTTGCCTTATTTTTAAGGCAGGAGTAAACAGCTAACCTTTTTTTTATTTCTGTAGAATGTTTTGTGGAAAGGTTACTTCCGTTTTAGTTCCGGTCTTTATGAGTCTGTTCCTGTTGTTTATATTGCTTTAAATAATAAACTTCATCCATTTTATTCCGGTTCACCGAATAAGTTGTAATGCTTGTGTACTTGGAGTAACATACAGATTTTTTTGTAACTGTTGGATCTGACGATGAAGGCCGTGTGTGTGCCTCTCTGAAATGATACTGGTCGTGAAATGTTTAAAACAGATGCTTATGGCTGTATTTGATTACATTCTAATTTATAGTTGTACCTGTAGTAATTTTTCGAGTAGTTGAATTCG